TATTAGTTCAACCATTGTGTGAAGGAGTTTGCAGGTTCCTCAAAAAACTAGAAAGAGAAATACTACTTTTCCCAGGAATTCAACTCCTAGGAATTTACCCTAAGAAAACAAGATTCCAGATTCAAAAAGACATATGCACCCCTATGTTTATCGCAGCACTATTTACAATAGGAAAGAAATGGAAGCAACCTAAGTGTCTATCTACAGATAAGCAGATAAAGAAGATGTGGTACATATACAGAATAGAGTAGATTCAGCCACAAGAAGAAAGCATATCCTACGGTTTGCAACAGCATGGATAGGGTAGAGGGTATTATGCTCAGTGAATAAGCCAGGCAGAGAAAGACAAGTACCAAATGATTTCACTCATCTGTGGAGTATAAGAAGAAAGAAAAAACTGAAGGAACAGAACAGCAGCCTGCTTACAGAACCCAAGAATATACTAACCCAAGAAAGGGAAAGAGACTGGGGAGGATGGGTTGGAAGGGAGGGATAAGGGGATTAAGGGGCATTATGATTACCTCACATAATAGAGGGTGGGCAAGGGGAAGGAAGTATAGCACAGAGAAGACAAGTAGTGACTCTATAGCATCTTAGTTTGCTTATTGACACCAACTGTAATGGGGTATGTGGTGGTAACTTGATAATAGGGAGGAATGTAGTAACCACAATATTGCTCTTGTGAAACCTGAGCATAAATTGTGTATCAATGATACCTTAACAAGTAAAAAACTACACAAAATAAAGAGGGTTAACATCTTTATATAAAGAGTCCACATAAATTAGTAAGAGAAAAATACTAAAATCCTAATCAACAAAAACCAAATTATATAAGACTTATGACAAACTAGAATAAATGAATAAATAAATGAAACAATTATGAACTTTAGCACCCCAAAAATATAAAGTTAGAATGAAATACCACTTTGTACTACTTTACATTTAGAAAATAAAACTTTATTATCCTTCCTATCTGGAATTGAGGCAAAAACCATTAACTCAACGAGACTACTACACCCCCTCCCATTGCAAATTATATATTAATTTTTCCTCCATACTCTGGAAGAAGACCTCATTTCAAATCTCCCTTTGCAACAAGCACCTCCTTCTACAAAGGATGGGGGCGTGGAGCAGGTGAGTCCATTTTGAAGAGCACCTGGCAGGCATCATCACACACACCCCCACACCCCATTTCCATGGCCTCTCCTAGCCCCCGGATCCGTCACAGCCTCTGTCTGCTTCCTAGGAGCTCTCAATTGGGAAAGAGAATAGGAAGATTCATTTCTAAGCAGACTGGGCACCTCTTATTCATGAACTCTGCTGCCACATCCTTATGCAGGAGTCAAAGGAGTTATGTGATAGGAACAATTACTATCATTTGCAGGGCACCAAGATGGGGGTGAGAAGAACTAAAGAAACTTATTTTAGCTAGGTGCCTTGCTGAATACTTACAGTAACATGTTTAATATCTGCTTAACTGCTTGGGAAGTGTTACTTCAGAAGCCCACTTTTAGCAATCATGTGGCCAACAGACTAAGGCACAGCCTTTGTTCCAGGACTGGCAAGCTCCTCTAGGCTTAGGGAAGCCATCTAACCACTCCTGTCCACATGGGACCTGACAGGCTAGGTAAATTCGCTGCACTGGCATTGGGCTTACACATACATCTGTTAGTTTAAAGGAATGTTCCATGAGGAAGTGAAGTCAATAAATAAAAGACTGAACACTCAGGAAATGGCTGGGGAAAAAATACCACTGACAAGTCAAAAAGCAGGAATAAGACAATGCCCTAATTTTTAACCTAACTAATGTAATTGTTGACATTCAAAAAACTTCAGCACATGATAATTTTGTTTTAGATGAGATATAAGTGAGATTTCAGGCTTGTATGGCATCTGAGTAGCAGCTGTATTTTAAGAGTAAACATCTCTACCACACTGCTCATTTGTTACAAATCTTATCACAAGGAGGGCAATAGTCAGAAACAGCACCAGGATGATGATGTCTCTTAGTGAGCTCTCTTCTGCTTTCGACTTAATGAGCAACATCAGGTGTAGGGTAAACTGTGTATCAACAGGACACTCAGTAACTTCTGAAGTCTGTACCCCTATGTACATAAAAACCATGAGGGCAAGGGCATACTCATTCCAGTTTTTTAAAAATTAAAGAATGATTGATATATAATCTTATGAAGGTTTAACATGAGCAACACAGTGGCTTCAACATTCACACATATTACCAAGTCCACCCCACCCCATTGCAGTCCATCAACATAGTAAGATGCTACAGTCACTACTTGTCTTCTCCGTGCTATACTGTCTTCCCCAAGACCTACCTGTATTGTGAGTGCTAATTATAATGCCCCTTAATCCCCTTCTCCCTCCTTCCCCACCTACCCTCTCTACCTCCTTCCCTTTGGTAACCTCTATTCCCTTCTTGGAGTCTGTCAGTCTGCTGCTTTTTGGTTCCTTCAGTTTTGCTTTGTTTAAACTCCATAAATGAGTGAAATCATTTGGTATTTGTCTTTCTCCGCCTGGCTTATTTCACTGAGCATAATACGCTCTAGCTCCATCCATGTTGTTGCAAATGGGAGGATTTGTTTTCTTCTTATGGCTGAATAGTATTCCATTGTGTATATGTACCACATCTTCTTTATTCATTCATCTACTGATAGACACTTAGGTTGCTTCCATTTCTTGGCTATTGTAAATAGTGCTGCAATAAACATAAGGGTGCATATGTCTTTTTGAATCAGGGACCTTGTTTACGTCAGGTAAATTCCTAGAAGGGAATTCCTGGGTCAAATAGTATTTCTATTTTTAGTCTTTTGAGGAATCTCCACATTGCTTTCCACAATGTCTGAAATAATTTCCACTCCCACTAACAGTGTATCAGAGTCCCCCTTTCTCTGCACTCTCACTAGCATTTGTTGTCCCTAGTCTTTTTGATGTTTCCAGTCTAACTGGTGTGAGGTGTTATCGCATTGTGGTTTTAATTTGCATTTCCCTGATAATTAGTGATGTGGAGCATCTTTTCATGTACCTGTTGGCCATCTGAATTTCTTCTTTGGAGAAGTGTTTGTTCAGATCCTTCACCCATTTTTTAACTGGGTTATTTGTTTTTTGGTTTTTGAGGCATGTGAGCTCTTTATATATTTATATATTTGGACAACCCCTTATTGGGCAAGTCATTTATGAATACATTCTTCCATACTGTAGGATGCCTTTTTGTTCTGTTGATGGTGTCCTGTGCTATACAGAAGCTTTTTAGTTTGATGCAATCCCAATTGTTCATTTTTGCTTTTGTTTCCCTTGCCCAAGGAGATGTGCTCAGGAAAAAGTTGCTCATGTTTACATTCAAGAGATTTTTGCATATGTTTTCTATGAGTTTTATGTTTCATGACTTACATTCAGGTCTTTGATCCATTTCAAGTTTACTTGTGTGTATGGAGTTAGACACTGATCTCTTGCATGTAGTTATCCAGTTTTGCCAACCCATTTGTCAAAGAAGCTGTCATTTCTCCACTGTATAGTCATGGCTCCTTTATTGTATATTAATTGGCTTTATATGGTGTGGGTTTATATCTGGGCTCTCTAGTCTGTTCCACTGCTCTATAGGTCTTTTTTGATGCCAGTACCAAATTGTTTTGGTTACTGTGGGTTTATAGTAGAGCTTGTAGTTAGGGAGTGTAATCCCCCCAGCTTTGTTTTTCCTTCTCAGAATGGCTTTGGCGATTCAGGGTCTCTTGTGGTTCCATATGAATTCTTGTACTATTTGTTTTAGTTTACTGAAGAATGCTGATGGTATTTTGATAGGGATTGCATTGAATTGCTTTAGGCAGGATGGCCATTTTGACAATATTAATTCTTCCTATCCATGAGCATGGGATGTATTTCCATTTATTGGTGTCTTCTTTAATTTCTCTCATAAGCGACTTGCAGTTTTCAGGGTATAGGTCTTTCACATTCTTGGTTAGGTTTATTCTGAGGTATTTTATTATTTTTGATGAAATTTTAAATGGAGTTGTTTTCCTGATTTTGCTTTGTGGTAGTTCATTATTATTATACAGGAATACAATAGATTTCTGTGTATTAATACCCCTTCCTTTTAACTTAAGACATTGATGGCTGAGCTGAACAGCTAAACTAATCTGGCTATCTTCCACAGCACAGAACATAAAGGCTTCAAAGAACTGTTTGTGCATGTATTAGAACAGACCACAAATTCATGTTTTGAGGAAAATTTTGGCACACAGACACTGTTCAGGTTCAACTGTACAAAACAGGTAAAACTTGCTTATATGGGCAAATGTCCTTGTTCAGCCTTACCTTTAACATTTGTGCCAGCCCTGATTCTATCTTAATTGGTTGCCAAAAACTTATGACACACATATCCAACAATCTACAAGTCCACTGAAGAGGGAGTAATACCTCTCATTCACTGCCACTCAGGAGTTTTCCAAAGGACAGCTGGGAGAAGCCTTTACCTAGAGTTGCATACAGAACATGCAGCCCACCATTCCTCTAGGTATACCAAAGCTCTCAGACTACCCAGGGACGCCTTTGCCGGCAGCCTAGAAACACCTCAAAGGAGGGCATTCCACATGTATTTACTATAAGGTGGTTTACTTCGGGACTAACTATATTCTATGGATTTCTCTTTAAAAGGACCCCCAGGAAGAACAGCTCTTTTGGGTCTGTAGCAGAGCCTGCTGTACACTCTCATACACTCACTGGTTTGTTCTCAACCTCTGAACCAAGCCCAAGACCCTCCTCAAGGCAAGTTACAAGGTCTCCAAGTGAACCTTCATGGGCCACCTAATGATGACTGTGAAACAGTCTCTCACATGCATCAGTCCCCAGTTGTTTTGCTCTTACTGTGTCTTCTGAAAGCTGCTTTTGGATCAAGACAAGGTACAGATGAGTACCGAGATGAGTAAGCAGATTTACGAACTCTAGGGTATAGAAGCACAATCAGATTCTACTTGCATGGACAAGACTAAAATTTTAAAGAAGTATTTTTTTCACACAAGTGGTAGAGATTTAGCTGGAAGATTCATACTTCTCAGGTACCACAGAAATGTATGGGCAAAACATTTAGGACAAACATAAAAGTGTAATATATGAAAAAGTTACCATTTGGGTAATAACTACCAAGATTGTTGATTACAAGTGTTGGTAAAAAAATTTAGCTATGCTGCCAAGCTCATGAAAGGAAAAAAATAGTACTATCCTATGTATTATATGCCAGTTAATTTTATTAACTCAGTTACCCATAAGGCAGTCAAATATAAAAATAAGATCAGAGATAGAATTCACATTAAACTATGACACAATATATTTACTCTATTAGAGATACCTTGTACTCTTTACTTACCATATGTAGTATTTACCAACAACTAGTCTGTAAGCTCCTTGAACAGAATGCAATGTCTCTGATTATCTTTTCTTCCTACCTTTCCATAGTGCTTTCTGGAGAAAGTACAAAGATACTTTAAATTGCCTAAATTTGGTAATCAGCAGAGAACTCACCAGAGAACTAAAGAAAATTGAAACCTCTTTTCTCTTTTTGTTTTGGATTACATTTTAAGAAAAGGTGAAAATTTTAATTAAAATGTCTGAATTAATGATAGGTAGATTAAGGAATACAAGATAGCTTTATCTCAATTCTAAAAACATTAACATAGTCATAATTAACACAGCAGAGAACATGAGGTGATGACAGCAAAATCTTAGCACTTAGGTGCTGCTACTGCATACTTACTGTGTTCTACCAAGAGGGACACCTCCCCAAGCCAGAAATTGTTTGTTGGACAAAATTGATGGAATATCTGAGCAGCAAGATCCAGGGATAAGAGGTTTATTTCCTGAGGAAACTACTTCACCTTTTAATACTACTTCATATTGAGGTCCAAATGGCTGCACAAATATTTTCAAGATCCTAATAAAGAAAAAATAAAGAAAACCATTTAAGTTGAATGTTCAGAATTCAATTCTTTTGGTAACTATTTCCTACACGCTTCTTCCTTCGTCCAAGTGATTGAGCTGGGTGTTTAGGAATAATGACATTCCCTCCCTTAGAACTTAAATTAAGAGAATATTACAGACAAGGAAAGAAACTGTCACAATCCCATCTACACCACCGTGGGAGAGAAGTTCACAGGATCTAGGAACACTACTGAACACCACTGAGGACCTTGGGAAGGGTTTAGAAAGCTTTCCAGATAAGGACTAAGCCAGTGAAATGAGGGCCAGCCCTCCAGGCATTAGTATTCACAAGTGTGCAGGCCAGCTCTTCCCTGATAAGGTCAGAGTAGCCCTGGCAGGGGACAGGCCACATATGTCTCAGGACAGCTTGCCTCGAAGCTAGGATTACCAAGCAAGTTAAAGTACTAATGACAATGGTGCTATGACCATTGTAAGGTGATATTCACTAATGATTTGGATGCCAAAAGTCACAGGCATAGAGAAGGGGTAGGGGGAATTATCTTAAACTGACAACAGACAAGGTCAACTGTTGGTGTTCTTGTAGAGAAAGTTAAAGAGAAACATCAAGATTCACAATTTCTTATTTACTTTTGTCAGAATATACTTAAAAATAGTGATTTCTCAATTTCTAGTCAGTTGGTTTAAAGGGAAATTCTTAGTAAACAAAAAGAAGAGAAACTGACAATGAGTCAGTCAGAAACTGACAATGAGTCAATGAGCAGCACACATGCCCTATCACTCAGGCTGACTGAACCATGGCTAAATAGGTGACTGTTTTGAGAGGTGAGTGAAAACATATCATTATAAAGAATTTTATATTACCTTTCCTCATAGGTTCTGGGATCCTTTGGAGTAAATGAAACTATAACTTCATGTTCTTCTCCAGGTTTAAGGAATAGATTCTCTGGATCCACTGAAAAGTGATTTTCTTGATCTGGGATCTAAATATTTATTGAATTATTACTAATTGCCAACCTATGCAAATATGGCTTGTACTCAGTTCCTCTCCTTGTCTTTTGTGCCTTTCTATCTACAATGATAGGTTATCTCCCTTCCTCCTTGTCCACCACTGTGCCACCTTGTTTGATTTTCTTGGAAAGGATTTCTCCTTACTTTTACACAACAAACTTTATCACCCACCCCATCCCTAATTCCAGGTCACTAACACCCTCTCATTCGCCCACATGTCTCAGAAATAATGTCTATGTATGTGGATCACTCTCCTCCAATTCTATCTAGCCATAGGATAATACACACATTTTTTAGGAACTAATCTAGAACTTGGTTCTTACATATAAAGCATGGAAAATTCCATAGAGTAACACCAGCTTTTAGAGTATACATAGAGTACTCCGTGTGACCCCTACGACACCCAACACACAATCTCTGGGATATGAGAGGTATTCAGGGTCTCTCAGTTCAGGGAGCACTATGTTACAGCACTCTGACACAAATTCTTACCTTGATATCTAAGTAAACGTCAATGTTCCCAGCATTTTTCAAAGGTAAGTGCTGCTTTGTTGAGGAAGTCATACTGGCAAACAAGTGCACAGTCTAGAGGATGAGGTAAAAAAGACATTTAAAAATGACATCACAATTAGAATGAAATAAACCTGAACATAAGATGATGGCAATGAGGATAGTTTAGGCTACCTGTAAGTCTTTCGGAGCATGTATCCTGGCTATTCCTGCTCTTGCTTGAAGACTAATACTTTTGATGACTGGTGTAGGGTATGGGCTGTCAACTTCTATATCAACTCTTGCCAAAAATTCTTCTGCTGAGTCTAGAATCTCTATAAAAGTTAATTCTTTTAGTTCAGACACCAGAGAATTACTTAATTCTAAATGCCATGAGTGATCCAACACTGTGCCCTCAGGAGGTTATAAAAAAATCTTAAGATGATTCTTTAAAGGACTCAAAAGAGGAACAGAAATAAGTGGAGGAGAGAGAGGAGAAAGAGGAAAAAGATACAATTGGAAAATGTTATAAAATCAATTACCAAAAGGTTCCCAAAAGGTTTTCAGTGGAACCTGCTGGGTTATCCACCATTCCACAGATTTGCCCCAGAAAAGCATGCTCTCCATCCCCTTTTTAAAACCATAGAGAATATTTGACAAATTACTCAAAGTGTTCACATTTACTGATATATGAAATAAGCCTTGACTCTGTAGTTTATTTAGCTACAGAGTAAAGTAATTACTCACAAAACAAACATGATACCTGAAGAAGTGATCCGTTTCTTTGGACTATGGAAAAGGACCCAAATTATGAGAAATGCTGGATCCTGTAAAAAAAAACAAATAAATTTAAATTTACATCAGCATTCAGATTAAAATCTTAATGAAAGAAAAATACTTTGGAAACTTAATTCCTCTTTAATTCTAAACCAGTTCTTTGATCCAGCCAGCTTACCTGCCCATCATAACTGGCAGGCATCATGTGATTGATCACAGAAGGAGCTGCCAGTTGAGCAATCACATCGGCATAAGGAGCAGCTTTCATAGAAGCAGGAGCAGGTTCCTTGGAAAATGTGAAGCAGTGCCAGGCTATGGCATTCTGTTAAGAAATATAAGAATCAATCTCAGTAAGGCTAATAGTATAATATCAGTGTAATATTAAATTTGTTAACAGAATCCTTAACAAAAATACTTTCAAAAGGAAAATTAACTAAATGATACTAGCAGTGTCTACAATACCAAATCAATGTGCTCTGTAAGCAGTTCTATACTGCACATTAGTACTTACAGCATTAATAGTAAGTCTGATTGGCACAGTGGCGTGTGTCTTGTTTACCAATTTTAATGGGAGTGCTTTCCAGCCTCCGTAAGTCAAATCACCAAAATCAAGAACATCTTTCTTTTCTGTCTCCACCTAATTATGAAAAAAAGGACTGATTTATAAAAACCAATATTAATAAATATCACAGCTTATGTTCATTATCACTGCCCCTTCTAGCCACAAATAGCACTAAAGGTAAACTTACCTATGTTTCCTCAGGCTATTTTACAACTGCTATTTTCTACAAAAATAAAAGTTAAATTCTTTTTTTGAGAATGAACCCAAATATAGTACAAAGAACAAAGTCAAGTAGCTGTTCTTACACTGAAAAGACTATATTAGATCTTAAGACAAACTGATAATTTTATAAAATATATAAGCTTCTCTTCAAAGAGTTCTATAATTAAAATATTGACTTCTCAAGTCCTTTCAAAACATATGTTGGCATTTTTAGATTTAGTTGAAACTTCTGACAAGCCTGAAAGTGTTTTAAATGATATCAAAATAAACTTATCGGAAGTTTAAAATGAGTACCTATCATCACAAGAGACTGACTTCTTTAAACATTGGAGACCAACCTGACACAGGCTCGTCACATCCACACATGTATAAATGTTGTATAATATTAACACACACGTAAGTCTTTTTGGTCTAGTCAAATACAAAGGGAAATCAAAATCTGACTGGCTAATGGGTGCTAACTTCCATGGTGGCCCATGAAGATCTGGTGTTAACTCACTCCCAGGGTGGCTGAGTGTCAACACCCTCCTTAGAACATTAGAGAGGGCCTTGAGCTTGCTGTCGGCAATGGGGAGCTGGATGGAGTCTGACTTCCTGAATAAAGTGCAGAAATACAAAGAAGTGCAATTATTATGAAAATAACAATGAAAAATGTCTGTGGAGACAGTAGGTAGGCTTGCCCAGGGGTGGGTGGGCACTGTGAGGTCATCTTCAAGAAAGCGAAATCCTAGGTGTGTACCACACACAGGAGTTCCAAGGTGTACATCACTGAAAGCTACAGTGCCCCAGCATTTATGCAGAATACTCTGCAGGGACGCTTTGAAAAACCAGAACAGATGAGATTTCCATAGCAAAAAGCAGCCTCCATGAATGTGAACTCACAATAAAAATTCTGAAATAGCAATTAAAGAATTAGAAACCAGGCAAAGAAAATAACCAATGAGAACCAGCACAGCTAACTAGTGGAAGAATTAGCACCTGAAGAACTAGAAATAATACGAAGTAAATTATAAGTACATTTTAAATATAGATGAGAGAACAGAGTCCACAAAGGGAAAAACAAACTTTAAGAAGCAATGGTGAGCAAAATAAAGTATAAATAGTTTGGTCAACCTGTTAAAAAAATATTAATTTGAGTATTGTAAAACCATTAGGAACTAAAATATTTAGGAAATGATCAACATTAAAATGACTTTTTTGTGAAAATTTTAATTAAAATGTCTGAATTAATGATAGGTAGATTAAGGAATACAAGATAGCTTTATCTCAATTCTAAAAACATTAACATAGTCATAATTAACACAGCAGAGAACATGAGGTGATGACAGCAAAATCTTAGCACTTAGGTGCTGCTACTGCATACTTACTGTGTTCTACCAAGAGGGACACCTCCCCAAGCCAGAAATTGTTTGTTGGACAAAATTGATGGAATATCTGAGCAGCAAGATCCAGGGATAAGAGGTTTATTTCCTGAGGAAACTACTTCACCTTTTAATACTACTTCATATTGAGGTCCAAATGGCTGCACAAATATTTTCAAGATCCTAATAAAGAAAAAATAAAGAAAACCATTTAAGTTGAATGTTCAGAATTCAATTCTTTTGGTAACTATTTCCTACACGCTTCTTCCTTCGTCCAAGTGATTGAGCTGGGTGTTTAGGAATAATGACATTCCCTCCCTTAGAACTTAAATTAAGAGAATATTACAGACAAGGAAAGAAACTGTCACAATCCCATCTACACCACCGTGGGAGAGAAGTTCACAGGATCTAGGAACACTACTGAACACCACTGAGGACCTTGGGAAGGGTTTAGAAAGCTTTCCAGATAAGGACTAAGCCAGTGAAATGAGGGCCAGCCCTCCAGGCATTAGTATTCACAAGTGTGCAGGCCAGCTCTTCCCTGATAAGGTCAGAGTAGCCCTGGCAGGGGACAGGCCACATATGTCTCAGGACAGCTTGCCTCGAAGCTAGGATTACCAAGCAAGTTAAAGTACTAATGACAATGGTGCTATGACCATTGTAAGGTGATATTCACTAATGATTTGGATGCCAAAAGTCACAGGCATAGAGAAGGGGTAGGGGGAATTATCTTAAACTGACAACAGACAAGGTCAACTGTTGGTGTTCTTGTAGAGAAAGTTAAAGAGAAACATCAAGATTCACAATTTCTTATTTACTTTTGTCAGAATATACTTAAAAATAGTGATTTCTCAATTTCTAGTCAGTTGGTTTAAAGGGAAATTCTTAGTAAACAAAAAGAAGAGAAACTGACAATGAGTCAGTCAGAAACTGACAATGAGTCAATGAGCAGCACACATGCCCTATCACTCAGGCTGACTGAACCATGGCTAAATAGGTGACTGTTTTGAGAGGTGAGTGAAAACATATCATTATAAAGAATTTTATATTACCTTTCCTCATAGGTTCTGGGATCCTTTGGAGTAAATGAAACTATAACTTCATGTTCTTCTCCAGGTTTAAGGAATAGATTCTCTGGATCCACTGAAAAGTGATTTTCTTGATCTGGGATCTAAATATTTATTGAATTATTACTAATTGCCAACCTATGCAAATATGGCTTGTACTCAGTTCCTCTCCTTGTCTTTTGTGCCTTTCTATCTACAATGATAGGTTATCTCCCTTCCTCCTTGTCCACCACTGTGCCACCTTGTTTGATTTTCTTGGAAAGGATTTCTCCTTACTTTTACACAACAAACTTTATCACCCACCCCATCCCTAATTCCAGGTCACTAACACCCTCTCATTCGCCCACATGTCTCAGAAATAATGTCTATGTATGTGGATCACTCTCCTCCAATTCTATCTAGCCATAGGATAATACACACATTTTTTAGGAACTAATCTAGAACTTGGTTCTTACATATAAAGCATGGAAAATTCCATAGAGTAACACCAGCTTTTAGAGTATACATAGAGTACTCCGTGTGACCCCTACGACACCCAACACACAATCTCTGGGATATGAGAGGTATTCAGGGTCTCTCAGTTCAGGGAGCACTATGTTACAGCACTCTGACACAAATTCTTACCTTGATATCTAAGTAAACGTCAATGTTCCCAGCATTTTTCAAAGGTAAGTGCTGCTTTGTTGAGGAAGTCATACTGGCAAACAAGTGCACAGTCTAGAGGATGAGGTAAAAAAGACATTTAAAAATGACATCACAATTAGAATGAAATAAACCTGAACATAAGATGATGGCAATGAGGATAGTTTAGGCTACCTGTAAGTCTTTCGGAGCATGTATCCTGGCTATTCCTGCTCTTGCTTGAAGACTAATACTTTTGATGACTGGTGTAGGGTATGGGCTGTCAACTTCTATATCAACTCTTGCCAAAAATTCTTCTGCTGAGTCTAGAATCTCTATAAAAGTTAATTCTTTTAGTTCAGACACCAGAGAATTACTTAATTCTAAATGCCATGAGTGATCCAACACTGTGCCCTCAGGAGGTTATAAAAAAATCTTAAGATGATTCTTTAAAGGACTCAAAAGAGGAACAGAAATAAGTGGAGGAGAGAGAGGAGAAAGAGGAAAAAGATACAATTGGAAAATGTTATAAAATCAATTACCAAAAGGTTCCCAAAAGGTTTTCAGTGGAACCTGCTGGGTTATCCACCATTCCACAGATTTGCCCCAGAAAAGCATGCTCTCCATCCCCTTTTTAAAACCATAGAGAATATTTGACAAATTACTCAAAGTGTTCACATTTACTGATATATGAAATAAGCCTTGACTCTGTAGTTTATTTAGCTACAGAGTAAAGTAATTACTCACAAAACAAACATGATACCTGAAGAAGTGATCCGTTTCTTTGGACTATGGAAAAGGACCCAAATTATGAGAAATGCTGGATCCTGTAAAAAAAAACAAATAAATTTAAATTTACATCAGCATTCAGATTAAAATCTTAATGAAAGAAAAATACTTTGGAAACTTAATTCCTCTTTAATTCTAAACCAGTTCTTTGATCCAGCCAGCTTACCTGCCCATCATAACTGGCAGGCATCATGTGATTGATCACAGAAGGAGCTGCCAGTTGAGCAATCACATCGGCATAAGGAGCAGCTTTCATAGAAGCAGGAGCAGGTTCCTTGGAAAATGTGAAGCAGTGCCAGGCTATGGCATTCTGTTAAGAAATATAAGAATCAATCTCAGTAAGGCTAATAGTATAATATCAGTGTAATATTAAATTTGTTAACAGAATCCTTAACAAAAATACTTTCAAAAGGAAAATTAACTAAATGATACTAGCAGTGTCTACAATACCAAATCAATGTGCTCTGTAAGCAGTTCTATACTGCACATTAGTACTTACAGCATTAATAGTAAGTCTGATTGGCACAGTGGCGTGTGTCTTGTTTACCAATTTTAATGGGAGTGCTTTCCAGCCTCCGTAAGTCAAATCACCAAAATCAAGAACATCTTTCTTTTCTGTCTCCACCTAATTATGAAAAAAAGGACTGATTTATAAAAACCAATATTAATAAATATCACAGCTTATGTTCATTATCACTGCCCCTTCTAGCCACAAATAGCACTAAAGGTAAACTTACCTATGTTTCCTCAGGCTATTTTACAACTGCTATTTTCTACAAAAATAAAAGTTAAATTCTTTTTTTGAGAATGAACCCAAATATAGTACAAAGAACAAAGTCAAGTAGCTGTTCTTACACTGAAAAGACTATATTAGATCTTAAGACAAACTGATAATTTTATAAAATATATAAGCTTCTCTTCAAAGAGTTCTATAATTAAAATATTGACTTCTCAAGTCCTTTCAAAACATATGTTGGCATTTTTAGATTTAGTTGAAACTTCTGACAAGCCTGAAAGTGTTTTAAATGATATCAAAATAAACTTATCGGAAGTTTAAAATGAGTACCTATCATCACAAGAGACTGACTTCTTTAAACATTGGAGACCAACCTGACACAGGCTCGTCACATCCACACATGTATAAATGTTGTATAATATTAACACACACGTAAGTCTTTTTGGTCTAGTCAAATACAAAGGGAAATCAAAATCTGACTGGCTAATGGGTGCTAACTTCCATGGTGGCCCATGAAGATCTGGTGTTAACTCACTCCCAGGGTGGCTGAGTGTCAACACCCTCCTTAGAACATTAGAGAGGGCCTTGAGCTTGCTGTCGGCAATGGGGAGCTGGATGGAGTCTGACTTCCTGAATAAAGTGCAGAAATACAAAGAAGTGCAATTATTATGAAAATAACAATGAAAAATGTCTGTGGAGACAGTAGGTAGGCTTGCCCAGGGGTGGGTGGGCACTGTGAGGTCATCTTCAAGAAAGCGAAATCCTAGGTGTGTACCACACACAGGAGTTCCAAGGTGTACATCACTGAAAGCTACAGTGCCCCAGCATTTATGCAGAATACTCTGCAGGGACGCTTTGAAAAACCAGAACAGATGAGATTTCCATAGCAAAAAGCAGCCTCCATGAATGTGAACTCACAATAAAAATTCTGAAATAGCAATTAAAGAATTAGAAACCAGGCAAAGAAAATAACCAATGAGAACCAGCACAGCTAACTAGTGGAAGAATTAGCACCTGAAGAACTAGAAATAATACGAAGTAAATTATAAGTACATTTTAAATATAGATGAGAGAACAGAGTCCACAAAGGGAAAAACAAACTTTAAGAAGCAATGGTGAGCAAAATAAAGTATAAATAGTTTGGTCAACCTGTTAAAAAAATATTAATTTGAGTATTGTAAAACCATTAGGAACTAAAATATTTAGGAAATGATCAACATTAAAATGACTTTTTGTGTTAACTGGAACTAGAACAAAGCTCCTGATTAACTTTAGACTTGAGGAACCAATTAAAAAAAGATGGAATAGAAACTGTGTAACTTCCCAACAAATGCAGATGCAAAATTAGGATGAAAGAAAAATTAAACTAATCCACTCTAAGTCAGGGTAAAAAAAAACTGGGAATTTTTAAAAAACATTATAACAAAATAAAAGTTGAAGACTGAAAAATAACGAGAGAGAAACACATATATCAGGAAATTATTAAACAAAAGACATACAAGGAGTGAAAAGATGGTGATGTGAGAACTGTGGCAGAAATCTCCTCCCAAAACCACATATATTTTTGAAAATACAGCAAATACAACTATTCTTAAAAGAGTGACCAGAAGTAAGAGTATACCAGCTAGTCAACATTTGGGAGAAGTGAACATCTCACGGAAAAGGGTAAAGTAAAAAACTGTGACCTGGTGGGACCCGAGCACTCCCTGCACCCCAGCTCATGTGCAGGAGGAAAAGAATCAGAGCAGGGAGGGAGTGGAAGCACAGGACTGCTAAATACCCAGCCCTACAAATCTACCCTGGGAGCACAGACCCACATTGCATGGTTCTCTGGAGATTAGTTGGGCTTAAAACCAAAGTCAGAGAGCTAAGACTGTGAACAGGTTCCAACACCAGATATCCTGGGAAAAAAGGAAAGCAGGCGCTTTAAAAGACTTCTCAACAGTCAGAAGGCTGCTAAAGCGGCAAGGGTTTAGGAGAAAGGACAGATGGACAAAATAGACCTGGCACACTCAGCCCAGAAGGTTGGGAACTTTCAAGAGCTTCAAGCGCCCTATTCCCCTGGCTGGCAAAGCAGCCCTGAGGTTCCTCACTGCGATAAGCAGCCCACTGCTCTTTCTTCCCCACTGGCACCTATGCACAAACATGCTGTCCCTGCAAATGCTGCAGACCAGCCTGGATGGCAGCCCCGCCTACAGGAACTACACAGCTTAACGCAGAGGCTTCTCCCTGCATGAGGTTAATTGGCAAAGGCAGCGAAGACAGGCACTGTGACCAGAAAGCACAAAACGGCTTATTCTTTGTGGCAGAACCTGCGCAGCAGGCCTAGAACCCCCCGCCATTGCCGCAGGACATCCTGAGGGCCACCATGTGCACCGCTGTTTAGGGGATTACCCAGAGGCCACTTTCTGCATGTGGTTAACCCGCACAGAGAGTGGACACAAGCACTGCGACCGGGAAGCAGGAAGGGACTTTTTCCTCCCAGCTGACACTTGCGCAACTAGCCTGAGACCACTCTGATCACTCCAGGGCTATGAAAAGGCAGAAGAACCTTGTTCAATCCAAAATTCCTCAAACACCAAAATGAGGACTCTATGAGACTGAAATCACCAAAATTCCTGAAAAAGAATTCAAAATAAAAGTGATAAGCATGCTAATGGAGCTACAGAAAAACATTCAGGACCTAAGGGACAAATTCAGGAGGAAGATAGACACCTTAAAAAATAAAGTAGCTGAAATGAAACCAACATTGTAGGTATTTAAAAGCAGATTAGATGAGGTAGAGGAGACGGTAAATGGAATAGAAATTAGAGAACAGGAATACAAAGACGCTGATGCAGAGAGAGAAAAAAGGATCTCAAGGAATGAAAGAATATCAAGAAAACTGTGTGACTAATACAAATGGAACAATATTCGCATTATAGGGGTACAGGAAGAAGAGAGAGAAAAAGAGATAGAAAGCATCTTTGAAGAAATAATTGCTGAAAACGTCCCCAATCTGGGGAAGGAAATAGTCTCTCAGGCCATGGATGTCCACAGATCACCGAACACAAGGGACCCAAGGAGAACAACACCAAAACATAAAATAAATAAAATGGAAAAGATAAAGGACAAGGAGACAGTATTAAAAGCAGCCAGACAGAAGGATTTCTCAAGATGGCGAAGACTGGAAATCTCCTCCCAAAACAACCATATAAATTTTGAAAATACAGCATATACAACTATTCATAAAAGAGAGACCAGAAGATACAGTACAACAGAAAGGCTACATCTACATCTGTGAGAACTCAACATCTCATGAAAAGGGTAAGATACAAAGCCGTGACCCAGTGGGACCCGAGCACTCCCCCAACCCCAGCTCACCGGCGGGAGAAAAAGAATCAGAATGGAGAGGGAGTGTAAGCACAGGACAGCTAAATAAACAGCCCTAGTAATCTGCACAGGGAGCACAGACACACATTACATGGTATACTGGATATTAGAGAAAAGGAAAAGTGAAATCTGAGACTGAGACTGCAAACAAGTCCCCTCAGCCGGACACCTGGGACAAAAGAAAAGCAGGCACTTTAAAAGTCTTAAAGGAACAAGGGTTTAACAGGTCGATAAAATCACCCAGGCACACTCAGCCCAGCATGCTGGGAATTTAGGGAACTTCAGGCACCCTAACCCTCTGGGTGGGAACGCAGCACTGAAGACCCCATGATGATAAGCAGCCTGCTGTTCAATCCTCCCTGCCAGGACTGCAAGCACACCGGTTGATTTGCCATTGCTGCAAACAGCCTGGAAGCATCCTGGCCCACAGCAACCATACAGTCTTCTCCCAGTGCACAGCTAACCATGCAAGACCCAGACGCTGCCCTCTGTGACTAGCTGCCCAGCACAGGGAGGGGAAACCGGTGTAAAATCCGGAAGACATGAAGGGACGCCGTTCCCGCAGGAGAACACACGTGGCTCGTTTGTGAACCCTGCCAGTGCCCTAGGCTATCCTAAGGGCTGCCTCGCCGACGACAGCTCAGGGGATTAACCCAGAGAGTGCTCTGGGCGTGCAATTAATGGGCACAGTGGAGAAAGACAATGTGTCCAGCAAGCCAGAAGGGACTTTGTTCTCCCAGTTGACACATGAACCACTTGCCGGCGATCACTCCTATTGCCATATAAAGGCAGAAGAATCTGGTCCAGTCCAAAATCACTCAAACTTCAGAGAGAGGGCCTGGTGAGATCAATATGACCATTCTTCCTGAAAAAGAATTCAAAATAAAAGTCATAACCATGCTGAGGGCGCTACACAGAAATATTCCAAGAGCTAAGGGATGAAGTCCAGAGGGAGATAACAGAAATTAAACAAACAATGGAAGGATTTAAGAGCAGACTGGATGAGGTGCAAGGGACTGTTAATAGAATAGAAATCAGACATCAGTAACACAGAGAAGGTGACACAAAGACAGATAAGAGGATCTCTAGGAATGAAAGAATATTAAGAAAACTGTGTGACAAATCCAACTGGAAGAATATTCACATAATAGGGGTACCAGAAGAAGAAGAGAGAGAAAAAGGGATAGAAAGTGTCTTTGAAGAAATGATTGCTGAAAACGTCCCCAAGCTGGGGAAGGAAATAGTCTCTCAGACCATGAAAGCCCACAGATCTCCCAACACAAGGGACCAAAGGAGGACAACACCAAGACATATAATAATTAAAATGACAAAGATCAAAGATAAGGATGGGGTATTACAAGCAGCCAGATAGAGAAAAAAGATCACATACAAAGGAAAACCCATCAGGCTATGATGAGACTTCTCAAGTCAAACTTTACAGGCCAGAAGATAATGGTATGATATATTTAATGCAATGAAACAGAGGGGCCTTGAATTAAGAATACTGTATCCAGTAC